GGGAGGGGAGGCTTCTGGTTTCAGTGGGTTTGTTCTTTTTTTAGGCTTCACAGGAGCCCTTTTCAGAATGCACTTGGGCCTGCAGGGACTGGCAGGCGGCCTCATGTTCGGAACAGCGTTTGGGTGAGTTGTGGCTGCTGCTGCTGGGTGATGGAGACTTAAACCTGCTCTTTAAGAGTGTTTGTGGCTGCACATACCAAGCCTTGAATCATAGGTAGGGCTACTGAAGCTTCCCTTCCTCTCTTGCCTTGAGGGATTTTCTGTGTCTCCCTTGGGACCTCATGATGGTCACTTTTCTTCCAACCTTTAAACTGTTGGGTTTTTTTCTTCTTTGTTTCTTGATTTGTGTTTTGCTGCTTTCTCAGTAGTAAGAACTCAGTGCTCTCAGTAGAGCATCTCACTTGCTGTTATTTGTTTGTTAGAGGAGACACTAACTGTTGTTAAATAGTTAACAGTAGTTGTGTGGATGGGTTACAGACATGTCTCATGTCCCTCTTCCTTGGCATGGTCACTGATGAGCCCAATGCTTGCATGCAGAACCACTGGATATCTGTTTTAAGGAACTCTGTAGTCTGTGGGTAAAGGCAGGAGTGCAAGATGTAGCTTCTGGGCTCCCTTCTCAGCTTCATCAGCAACTGCTCCTGTAGCAGCTCTGAATCCAGACAAGGGGAGTCAGATGTCATGATGACACCTTTTGAAGAGGACTTTACCCAGGGACTGCGAGGTAAAGAGTCTGTGTAAAAATAACTTTTTTACAAAATGTGCTCCATCAAAGCCAAAATATGGAGCAGCAGCCCTTGGGAAACACTGAGGGAGAAGCTGCGTGGCTGGGCTGCACAACCCAAGGCTGTAAGGCGGCACTTCTTCATGTACATCTTGCAGTCGTGAGTCTCCTAAAGCTCCCTGGGGCATGGAGGAGATCTATGGTTCTCTCTCAGGGGCTCTGTCCATCAGGACAATGATCTTTAACTGAGGAGAAGTCTGACTGTTCAAACAGAGCTGGGATTTCTTCTCGAAGTGCCAATTTGTAAATATGCTCAGAAAGGAATCTGGGGACCCGCCTGAACAAGAGAATGAGCTTTATACGTGCTACTTGTCGCTGTCAGGATGGTGTCAGCTGTGGCCATGCCTGGAAGCAGCCTAGGGAGCTTTACCAATGAAAACACAAGTACCTCCAGAGCTGGATGGAAGGGTGTCACTGTCTGAATTATGGGTGCAGTGCTCTACAGGAGTTGTTTGGGCACCTTAAATTCTTCCACCCCTTTGCCCTGTCAATGAGTAAATTCAAAATATGTTATCACAGGGGCTCCAGTGAGTCACAGCTGAAGGGAGGCTGTGCTTGGTGGGTCACACTGGAATAGGAGTAGCTTAGTCTGTGGTGCAGTGTGAGTCTTGGGGAATGCAATGCTCCCCTGATGTGATGTCTGGCTCCCCTGTGCTCCTTTTGTCGAAGCCAGTGAGTTGTTGCTGTTGTGTGTCTCCTGGGTGACTCGTGACTTCTCTGCTTCCTCCTGTAGGGTCCCTGCAGGAGCCCTGTTAATAGCATTGCATGGCTTGACTGGCGAGACCTTGCAGGAGAAGAGGACTCGCGAGCGCAGGGAGCTGTATGAGCAGAAGCTGGCAGAGTGGTAAGGAGCAGCTCCAAGGGTGGTTCAGACATTTAAAGGCTCCACAACGCTCCTCGGTTCTCCTGCTCTTGGTTGTCAGTGTGTTTCACATACCAGTCTGAGAACTTCTTTCCATCCCTGTTAAAGAGAGGAAAGAGGGATAGCTGGAGGCTTTGGAGGAAAAAAGACCATGACACTAGTTGTGTGACTTACTCACTGACAGTGTCAGTTCTAGAATAAACTTTTCAGGAGCTGGAATTCTGCAGTCATGCCTTTGTCAGGAGGATACAGGCATAAAATTGCTTTGCACTCTTTCTTCTCTCCTTAGGCAATCCAGGCTCAATGTGACTGAAGTCTTGGGCCAAACGGAAAACAACGCCCAGGGAGGGCTGAAGATGGACTGAGCAAGAGACTTTAGGAGCTACTGAGTCTTCCCCAGATCTCTGTTGTAAGAAGCTACTGTAAGACCCCAGTCCCAAAGCCACAGCCTTAACTGGGATTATTACTTTTAAAAAATATACAAGACTCCAAAAGTTTCTCCCAATGAACTTTTGCAGAGTTAATACCTCGAGATAGTGTAAAGAGAAGAAGCCACACACTTTTCCTTGAGAGGTGCTTTTACTGATAGTTTAGGGGAGAAAGTAAGGGAACTTGGCAAGTGTTTAAGCCCTTTTAAACTTTTGCCAAGATCTTTATTTCCTCCCTTATTAAAAGGATCTCCTGAGAAAATGTGTGCTGCATTCTCTCTTTAGGCTGTCTCAAGGTATTAAGAAGTGAAGATTCTGAAAAATTTGGTTAGGCAAGCTCTTTGGACTCCTGTATATTTTTTAAAAGTCATACTCCCAGTTAAGCTTGTGGCTTTGGGACTGAGGTCTTACAGATACAAAGCATTTTGATTCTGCTCATGAAAGTCTTCAGTCAAGGGATGGTGGAACTCTTCTGTGAACACACTCATATCCTGTGGAAAAGCCTTTTGCTGAGAACATTGCCCATGGATGCACATCACTGCATGGGAGCTCAGAAGGGCCAAGCCTGTTCCCCCTGAGAAGGTGGAAATGCGACTTTGCTCACTGGGAAGTGTCATCTGGGTTTGGCAGGGAGTGAGGGCAGCTCCAGAGCCTCGTCTAAGGACCCATTTCACTGCTCAAAGTGTCCAAACCATCAGCAATGTAGAAATATTCAAGGTAAAGGGGCCTGTGAATAGTTTATGTGCTAAAGGTACCCCAATTCCAAAAGTTAACTGTGCTCTGGTGCAAGCTGTCTTCAGGCAGCACCTGAAGAACTTACTGACTGTGGTTTCTTCAGGCCTTGGTTCCTACAGTACTTGGGGTATTTTTCAGTCAATGTTGAGGAAGGGTGGAGGAGCTGGGAATGATATGGAAATGCCCTGAAAAAGGCAAGTTTTGGGTTCCTCAATATAAGTCTGAGCAGGCCACAGGAAAGATGACTTATTTCTGGTGGTGATGGTGGAAAACTTGGCACTGTGGACAGTTTTAACAATAAAAAGGCCTCTAATTTCATTTGAAAGTTGGAAATTGGGGGATGACCTTTTGGGGAAATGTGGTTCAAGACACTCAATAAAGCCATATAGCAGTGGTGATTGTGTCCATAAGCTCTTTATGTCAGTACAGTATGTACTTCATGTTAGTACAGAGAAGTATAGAGAAGCATCCTTGAGTGATATCCCATGAGAAGAGCTCTAGCTGAGAACCCACCAGTGAGCAATACAGTCTGGTGGCAGTATCGGATGTTCCCTCTATCCAGTAATAAAGGCAATAGCCAGGAGAGTGCCAGGTCTGTCTGTTATTTTGATCCAGAGATCAGCTGTTAGTTGTTATCTGTGGGTAGGACTGTAGTTAATGTAAAATGGTCTCTACTCAGGAGGGCCATCACTGTTCCCTCAAAGCAGAATGCCAGGATTCTGGTTCCCTTTTTTTGTTGGAGATTTTTCTGCTACTGAAGGGAATTACATCCAGGCAGGGGGTTTGGGTCTACTTCCCACAGGAAAAGAGTAGTCAAGTCTGTTCTGGTTGAATGCTTTTACAGATAATTAGTGTTGATTGAAATATGAACAGTCGATCCCGGAGAGCTTATTCCACCCACCCAAAGCAGATTTTTGGCACTGTTTGCTTTCAAGAAGGTGTTGTGTTTTCTGACTTCTGAAATGAGCATTTAATTTTTTAAACATCCCAGTGTTGTTCATTTTTCCATTGAAGAAATACCACTGTTTCAGGGTTGTCATCAACGAGCTCTGGTCTTTTCTATGTGTAAGTGAAGGATCTGAATAAGCAGAGGTGTGGATATGTCTCTCCCTCTTCCTGTTTTAGCCTCTGCATGCACTGGTGACAGTAGTGTTGTTGTGCCCCCTCAAAAAAGGAAATAGCAGGCCTTTCTGAATCACCTTTTTGCCATTGTGCTTACAGAGTGATGTCTTATCTTTTTCTCTTTTCTCTTTTTTTTTTTTTGCTGTTACATCCCCACCCAATATCCCTCACTCTTATCTGTGCAGCAGCTCTGGTGACATTAGCTGTGTCATTGCTGTCTCTGTTCCTATTTGGTGGTATTTGATGTGATGTCTAAAGAATACTAATTTTCCTGTGCCTGACCATTGATGCAGGGACATTCTCCTGTGGGAGGGCAGGCAGAGCCAAGGTGTAGCAGTTGTGTGGATTTTCTCCAAGGGAGGAAGGGAGGGCTGCTACATGTCCTTATGCTGCACTTTAGCATGGGGAGGCAGAGACTTCCAGCTGCACTCAGGATTAGCAGCCATTTGTTTCTCAGTTTCCCACTGAATTTAGTTCCTTGCACTTCTTCATTTCTTACCCTCAAAGTCACTGTGTGAATGGGGAGTGAGGAGCTGGTTCAGAGCTTATTTTTTAAATACACATGTAAGGGATTCTCCACAGCCCCACTCCCTCCACCCCCAGGAAAAGTACAGCACTGAAGTTATGGTCCCTCCACTTTCAGAGTAGGTGACACAAGTAACAGGGGTACGGCGAGAACCTCTTACCCCTGCATTTTACTTTTGCAGAGAACCTCCTGCCTGGAGGGAGAAGGACAGCCTGTAGCTGCACTGCTCAGTTAATCCCTGGCACACTGACAGACATGAGGTCACGAGCTGGGGACCTGAGTGCCATTTTGTCACTGCTGCCAGCACACCAAACAGAGCTGTGGCTTGGTGCCAGCTGTACCTGGTACAGCTTTGTCAACCCCTGCATCACCTGCCCTGATGCTACACAGTGTGTGTTTTTAGCAGCTGTGAAACAGTGGCAGAGGCTCACGTGAAGAACTGAAAGGCTCTACCACTTCTCAGCACGTGGATAGACATCTGTTGTTACTGAGGAAAGGAAACTGAGTTTACAATTAATTTTTTAATTAGTTAAAAAAAATGTTATGTACAAAAACCCCATGATAAACAGAGCAGCTCACCTGCTACAATGACCCAGATATTAAGCTGAGAAGGTCTCACAGAAACCATTTGTGTGCAATTCACTGAATACAGCATAAGGCAATAGAAAACAGGACTCAGGGTATTAGTGCTTAAGGAAAAACAAACCAAACAACCTGCCCATCAAGACTGTAAAAATAACCTGCTGGTGGACATGTTTGTCAGTGAAACTTGGTTTCCTTTAGAAGGAGTTACCAAAAGTGTCACTGGAGTCTGTGGTGATGTAGAAAGGTTTGGCACAGTGCAAAAGACAAACCTTTCTCCAGGAGGCTGCACAATCATCAGTCAGGAGCAGAAGTGGAGAATGGGATAGTCAGAGGGAAAACGTGCTGGTACAACCTGTCAGAGCTGTGGTGTGGCTGGCAGGGTGGAATTGCACTGTGATTCGAGGGAAGGATGGTGCTGGAAATGAGCAGAGGTGGAAGTGAATGCCAGAAGAGGTGGTCAGCCTGCAAGAAGCTGGTAGTTTGTGCTGGAAGGAACAAGAATAGGCGAAAGAAGAGGAAACCTGAAAAGTGTGAGACACCATTGCCCATACACCAAGTCCTGCAGTAGGGTCAGGCTGCCTCGTGGAAACACTCTGATTTCTGTCACTTATGTTCTGTTTGCAACCAGAACACACAAGTGCAGAGTATTGTTTCCTTATAACCCAGCTTATCTCCTTTTCTCTGTCAAAAACTCCTCTGTAAGAATGTTCTGGAGTTCCCATTACACTTTGTACAATGGGAAAGCAGTAAAAAAAAAAAAAAAGATGGGACAAAACAACTCTGCAGGAGTAGAAGGGGAGCAGTGCCTTATTTTTTACTAGTGACTTGATCTCATAACTCAATATTCCATAAACCACTTTAATCTTCCTATTTTCTCCAGCAGTTCCTCTCACACTATGTACCCTCTAGAAAAAAAAGTGAAATGGATGGAATATGTCTTTGCTGTGTCCTAGGAAGATAAACAGCTCAGGCAACAATACATCCCACGGAGGTGCTTCCAGGCTTTGGTCTGCCCTGATAACATGCATAGAGCACTAAGGGAATGAGTACAGCTTGCAGAGCAGAAGGGAAAAACATACCTGTAAAACTCAGGGCAGGGTTCAGTTAGGTTAGGATGCAGAGTTGCTTAGGAAGCTTGTTGGGGCTTTTTCCTCCTTTCCCCTTAAAATGAGAAATCAATTTTTCCTACACGGTAGGCAAGAATGTCAGCCAGATCAGATGAGTCCTATCCAGTACTAGCATTCTGTAGGGAAAATCCTTCAAGTCCTGGCTGGGTAGAGAGAACACTGGCAGAAAGCAGCAACATTCAGTGCAAAGTAAGTCCTTAGGTTACTGTGAGAGACTCTCAAGAATCTGCAGAGCCTCCCCTAACAAGTGTCCCTAGGCAGAGGTACCAACACAAGCAGACCTATGTTTTTGAAGCGAGGCCCTGAGTTACGTTTCATTACAGTGGATATGCAAGATAACCACTGACTTTAACACAAATTTCAGTGGGGCTTTACAGGTGTGGGTAGGAAGGAATGCACATAAAAGCTCGTACATTTGTATGCACACGTGTGCCCTCACACAGCAATTTAATGGAGGGGCTGTGTTGGCTGGGTTGGCAAGGTCATCCTGTCAGGAGAGAAAGGCTGCCAGAACTTGTGCCACTGCTGTGGGTAAGCAATATTAGTTGGCTGTTAGCTGTGCTGTCAGTGTGTATCGTTCCCTAAAAAGTCCCATAGCACTGCAAATAAGCATGGGGCAGAGAGACTCACTTCCAAGGTGAAGTTTTTTTCATGAAAAATGTGAGCATTACTGCCTCTTTAGGGGGAAAGTGACACGGTCAGGTTCAAATCCAAAGTCCTCCAGCATGAAGAACTCGTGTGAGGCTGAATATAAAAGAAGTTTTAGCTTCTCCCAGTCACAACATGGAGGCACAACCTGACTTGAGCTTGTGTGTTGGGGTCTGGGGGGTCCCAAGGGGCAGCTCTGCATTGCTAAAGGGGTAGGCAGGCCCCTGGTTCCCACAGAAGCAGCGTCAAAGCCAGAGGTTCCCAAAGCCTTGAACTGGTGTGTCGATGCCGACGACGTTCTTCTTCTGCCCCCGTTGCAGGAGCACAGAGGGTCCTCCCAGGCCGGGGTTCCAGTGACCCCGTTGTAACGAGAGCACCCCAAAGCTTCTGTTTGACTTCATTCACATGAGATTATGTTGTCAGTCGTGTTTTCAGTCCCCTTGCAGAGAGCCAAAGGGTCAATGCCACAAGCATTGCTGCACAACGAACGGCGGAGTCTGCGGTGCGGAATGCACGGGGTGAGAAACCTGAGGGATTCAAAGAAAAAGGATTTACTGATTTTTTTTTTCCCCGCCCCTTCTTAATCTTAAACGTCGAGCGGAAATGTTGCAGAGCCGACAAACGGGTATACACCTGCGACAGCCCTCCACAAGAGGGCTCCTATTCCATAAAATCGGAGCTGCTCGGAGCGGCAGGACCGTGAGCGACGGTTCCTGTAAAACCTTTGGAGTGTGCAGGGATGCTACCCCTCTGCGGAGCGAGGATGGCTGATGAATGCGCTCCCCAATTTAAACAGCAGCGGGACGTGGCTCAGTACACCCTGCAGTTCCGAGCCACCAAGGAAGCACGGCTTCCATCCCTGTCCCAGGCACTGGAGCTGGGAAACACCACCTACGGAAAAGCCTGGCAAACTTTTGTAACAAAATAGAGGAATGTGGAAGAATGGGTTTGTTCAGTAGGTAAACTCCTGCCACTGCCATCACAAAACTCCCCAAAATTCAGGCTAACCAAGGCTCTAGTATCTGTCCCGGGCAGGGCCTTCCCCGGAGGAAAACATGAGTGGCTGTTCAGGTTTGGAAATGAGACGAGTGGCCTGAATGAGAGTTTCCCCTCCTTTCCACCTCAGAACTATTAAGCTTTTAGATCACCACAGCACACAGCGTGACAAATTGCTGACTGGCAGGACTCCACAGCTGCTGCTCTGAGGCATTACCCTGGCAATTCCGTGGGCTGCGGTGAGAGCAGGAAATGCCATCCCCGGGATAATGATGCGAATAAGAACAGTTACCTGCTAATCTTTCTTTCAAGCCAAAGCCAATATAATGCTTTGTAATCATAAAACTTCGGCAAGCCAGAGCCTTCCCCAGCCCATCTTTTGCAACACCTCGTTGTGGAAGGTAACTCCTTTTAAAATATGAGTGTTTCCTAGGCAAGTCTTAGGGAGGAAGCTTTTCCATTCCTCCAGCTGCTGAAGGGAATGGAGATATCTCAGAAGTGGACTGGCATAGCTGGTATTACTGGGAAAGCTGGAGTTGTTCTCTTGTTCACCCCTCCCTCACCACCATTTAGTCAACCCTTCATTTCTATTACCAGTGATGTTTCCCATGTTTATGTATCAGATCAGACTCACAGGGAATCAGCCAGAAGTAACTTCTAGGGGGTGAAGCCACATGTGGGACCTGTAGTAGTGATGAGCTACTTACAAATGAGTCCAAAAGGACAGGGACTAAAAGACTGCCCAGTTCTTAGCTGGGAAGTCCATAAAACGAGCAGGGCAGCAGCAGGGGATGTCCCTGCAGATCCTGATAGCTGGAGGACTGTGCTGCAAGCCCACCTCTCAGATATTAATCAGCTTCCTTGCACAGGTTCAGAGCAGACACTGATAGTCGAAGCTGTCAAATGTTCTTTTTCTTTCATCTCTCTGTCTCTCTTCATCCCTATTTAGTCCCAGAAATTTTATGTTCATTAATGAAATGAATCATAAAGAAACTTACACACCATCCACACAGGGCCCATTCTATGGAAAAAGCAGCTTAGCAGCCCAACAAATTCAGTTCTCTAATGTTTTTCACTAGATTTTCACTAGAAATTTGAAATAACCCAAACAAAGCAATGCCCCACAAGGAATGTGAGCATCATTCCTCTGGTTACTTGACTGGAAAACACAACGTGTCCAGGTTGGGAATAGGGCCCTACTGCTGTTACTTACCCTAAAAAGACAGCCCACGCTCATATTAAAAGGCACACGTGGTGTTGTGAGCTAACATGGCATGAGAATCCAGTGGTATTTGAGAAGCTATTTTGCCAAGAGAAGAGTGGTAAAGAAAACTACCTGCAAATGCAATCTGGTCATACAGATGATGTTTCAGATGTCACTTTGAGGCTCGCAGGTGGCTTTGTACCTTCCTTCATACCCTCTTCCACCGGATCCTGGGGCTTACAACAGTGAGGACAAACTGAAATTTGGAATCAGAGAAGACATAAAAGTGATGACTCCAAATGTCTTCTTCAACAAAGTGTAACTGAGAGTGGGAAGAAAGGAGAGAAGAAATTAAAGAGATCCCTTAGGTCTAGTTGCTTCTATTTTAATTTGGCAGGACTCACCCCTGCAGTACATCCTAATATGCTTGGCCCATAGCCACAGGCTGATCTGATAGAAAGCTCTGTTATATATAAATATTATCAATATAGTGTCATATGGATAAAAAAGTTCTCATTAGCAGAGGCAAGGAACCTCAGCCTGGCATAAAGACAGGTTGCTACATGCTAAGATAAGTTAGAAGGGAAATAAAAGTTACACATCACTAAATGCAGTTTTCCTATCAAATGAAAGAATGCCAGTGTTAAAACCAAAAAACTCTTTCAGTGCTTTAAAAGGACCTCAGAATAAACAAGTCCACTACGTATCTCAGCATCTCATGAATGACTTTAACTGTTCAGGTTGAATCTCTACTACCACAGCAAACTGTACTTGCACAAATCATGCAACGTGAATCATGAGCCATTCTTTAAGTGACCTCTAATCTTGGTGCTCTGTGTTTGCATTCCTTAATTACTGTAAAGACAGGCTGTGAACCTCAACAAAGCATCTGCACGTTTTGGTCACCACAACAATCACGCATCTGAGAACTCTTACTTCCGTTTCTCTCTGTCTTTCTATTCTTCCCTCCCACACTTCAGCTCTTTGAAGCATGGCCTTTTGAGCTCAGAAACCACTCTTAGCATCAAGGCAACTCCTGACTCAGCTTTCCATGGGCCAAGAGCAACAGAGGTACTCTCAGACTTACTCTGAGCTCCCGTAAGAGCCCTTGAAAGGTGACCTGCAGCAGCACCAGCAGGATACACTCTTAGGACAGGTATTTCCCTTTCCAGACAGGTGGCAACGCCCAGCAATACTGAAATGGGACAACTATACAAGCTGGGAAGTTGGATGGAAACTCTGGCTTCAGTTACTTACAGTGTGCACTTGGGCTGGAAAGTGGCTGTACCGAATAGCACCACCTGACTTGGCAAATCCACTCCCTGTGCATATTATGCAAATGGGACTGAAAGGGAAATTCCAGTTTGTGCAGCCCTGTGCCATGCTGTTGCAGGTGATTGCATCCTACCACATGGGTATGCTTTTTACATCTGCTTTAAAAGCAATTTGGTCCCTATATAAAAGACTATCTCAGAATGCTCCGGAATCGTGCTAATTTAATGGTGAGGAACCTTTTAATTTCCAGCCAATATTTGTTTAGAGCCAAATCTTCCAATTCCAGTTCATTTTCTCCTATAATTAGAAGTGCATTATACATGCAGCTAACAGCACAGGCTGTGATCAAATGTGATTTTCTAGGTTTCAGCCTGCTCATTGCTTTCCCGTTGACACAGCCCCAGGGAACAGCAGGGGACAGCCAGCACTGGTGTCACAGGGGCACAGGAGTGGAAAATGAGGAGGTGCACAGGTGTAACCAAGAGTCACTGCCTTCCAGAAGCTTCCTTTCCTTGTGATAAAGCACTAAAAGGAAATCAGCCCAGCCTGACTCAATGGTCACGCTGGTTTTTGAGGGGATGTGGTCGACGAGGAGGGGAAAAGAAAAATAGTAATGCAACCTCCACACCTCTGACTTGGGAGTGAACTTGTCTGAGTAGAGGTATCAGAACACACAAGCATGACAAACTTACAAGTGTCTGTAAGAAAACTGAGTCCTTGCTGTCCAGCAAACAGCCTTTTCCAAAGGGGGGTACCGTGGTGACCACGATGGGCTGGGGTGCTCAGAACTGGGGGCTCCCTGTTTAAGTGGCCTGAGCACAGAGCCCTCTCAGTGTGGGATTCTTGTCCCCACACACGGCTTCCCCAGTGCCCTGACAGAACTCGGTGTGGTGGTATTTATAACATGTTGCAAGGCCTGCTGTCATTCTCCGTGACTGCTCTGCAAAGCTGCTAACAGGGTGTGGATAAGACATCTCCTGCCTTTATAAATCCATTAGATGTCTACCCACATCTTCAGGGGCTTTCTGGTGAGGTCAGCTTAGACATGATTAGGAGCAACAGCTAACAGATGAGATTTTTTGAGGGTGGAAAAAAAATCTACTTAGCTGCCAGCTACCCCTGAGGTGTTTGAGATCCCCTTGGAAAGCTCCTGGAGACACGTCTGGAGTTACTGAAGACTTCATGGGGTGGGACCAGGCACCTCACCTGTGCCATTTCGGGCCACACAAAAAATACAAATCCAGTTCTCCTGATTGGTGTTCTCCTAAAAGTGGGGCACTGCTATGCTGAAGTGTTTTCTGTGGCCCTAACACTATGTATTTTTGTTACTTTGGCTCAGAGACTATCTGAGGGATTGTCTAAGTAGGGTGTGGAGAGAGATCCAATTTTGAAACTCTCAGTGCTCAGCCGTATCTATCACGATCACCAAAATTCTTGGCATCTTAAGACATCTTAGGTCACATCTTAATAGACAAAAACGAACCTCTGTGAATATCTTCATTTCTGTATACCCCTGGTTTTGGAAACATTCTGATCTGCTGGCAAAACTCCCCATCACCCTTTCATTCCCAAACCTGAACCCTAGTTCAGTGTGCTGCCTGGACACAAAATGTAGCAAAGTCATGAGCTAGACTTAGATTTTGTGACAGTGGATGCTGAAATAAAAAAAAAAAAAAAGGAAATGAGAAGAAGGTAGAGAAATACCTAATGTGGCAGTATAGTTTCTATAAATGTGTATCTTAATAGAAACATAAGCAGTAAGAGACAGTTTCTTGAAAAAGGAGGTACACTTACCACGCCTTGGGAGGTATCTTGCTGCCAGGATGATTGCCAAAATGAAGGTGATAACAACAATGCTTGAAGCAGTAATGACATTATAAGGTGGAGGCACAGGAGGAACAACACAGTCATTTGTTTTTTCTGAGGCAGGAGAAATAAAAAATAAAGGACACAACGACTTATTGTCATTTTCACGTAAGAGCAGGTACGTGAATTTTGGTGGCTCTGGCTAAGTTCTAACTCAGGTATTCAGCCTGAAAATGGACCTGTTCAATAAACAAACGAGAAAAGCTGGTGCCTTAATTTCTTCCACTTTGCCGCATTTGCTCTGTGCTGAAATTTTTAACATATCCACAGAGTGTGAAATGCTGGGGTTTTGTCCAGAACAGAACTGAGACAGGCAATATTTGAAAACACATAAGCTGTTTCAAAGGAAGTATTTGGGCTTGGTGGAAGAGTCTCAGTCTGCAGCTTGAAAATTTCCATTTTCAAAGCTACCCTGCAGTTTTCCATACTGTTTTCATCAGATTTATGCCTAATTCTCTTCCCTTTGGATTCAGAGGTGAAGGAGAATGATGCATTAAATGGGCTAGAACAGACTTGTTTTTTCTGTGTGGCAGGAAAACAGTGTTGTGGCAGAGTTCAGCTTCAGTGGACCCAGAGCCTTTGGCTTTTTCACCACAGGAGATGACATTCCACTGCTGGGATATAAGAGCAGATACCAGGCCATTCCTGTACACTACAGGACAACCCTAATTCAACAGGAGGGACAGACTTGCTGCATGTCTGTAGGTCCCCAGAGCTGTGTGAACAGATCTTCAGTTTTTCATCATCTGCATCTGGCAGAGTTGGGCATCATTCCACGTCTAAGACACTGGCCTGATCTGCTGTACAATCTTTCCCCCCCACTGTAGGGTTTGCCTCCTGTGTTTACCAGAGGCTGTATTCTGCCTGGAAGTCTGTTCATGAAAGACTTGTCTAAAGGACCAATTACATCATACCATAATGGGAGTGGTTCTATATCTTAAAAATCAAAAAGCAGGGGGTTTGTGACTGCTGTGACTGTGTCACTGTTGATTGCACCCTCCTCTGAGAATCTGTGTGACAACAGTGTATTACTATTATTGCTTTTTTTTTTGTTGCTCTCCTTTTCTATGTAGCATGATATTCATAACCTTCTTCCATTAGCATCTCTAGGGACATTATGCACTACATGCAGCAATAACCAATATTCATAAAGCACTGGTTCCTGGCATTCGTTCTGAAGCTGAATGGCACCTCTCCCCACAAGTCCCTTTGATTTTAGTAAGGTAGATGAATAAGCTGCCTTGATGAATAAGGTACAATTCCCTAGGAAAAATAGCACTTCTCTATCTTCCCCTGAAGGTGCCCTTATCTCTACAGTAAAAACATCAGACCCACAGACATTTCAGAACACTTTTTTTGGTAGCAACATTAAAAAAAAAATCCTTTTGGCTTTAAGAATTTTCTGGCAAATCCCCTTCTACTGCAAAACATCTGGACCGTAGTATGCTGCCTTCCCTCATGCTGTTTCCACTTGTGCCTCAAGCTTTTCAAAGCACAGAGTTATCTATTATGCTATCACTTCTAAGCCAGGCTCAGTGATGGAATTCTTTTCGTATGAGTTAACCCTATATTACATTTAAAAGCAGAATTTTGTCTAGACCCCAGCTGAACAGTTTCTTTCACTGAAGCAGGGACAAACATGCTTGTTAAACGAGGAAATTCTTTTTAAGTGCATCCCGTGGCTTTTAAAGCACAAATACCATTCAAATACCAGGTCTGTGTCATGCAAGTGGCAGCAGGACTGTGCTGGTGCAGAGAGGCACTGGATGGTGGCAACCCCGACCCGTGGGAGCAACTGAGCCTGATATCACAACAGGATCCAATTGCCTTCTCAGCCCAGCTGTGACAGAAGAGCAGCAGGAAGACAAAGCCATCACCGCTTGTCAGTCACTGTTGCAACTCTCCCTTCCCACCCCTGCTGCCTTACAGCCTTTAAAACATTTTGGCGCACAGCTCACAGGTGGGGTCGTTGTGCCGTCCTTGCGTGAACAGTTACACAGAACGGTTTTGTAACACAAAAAAACATTAATAGCACATACCCAGAAGCAAACTGGTGGACTTGGCCAAGCCGTCGTATTCAACGGAGCAAGTGACGTTGACGTCGCTGGTCACGTTGAGCACCAGCGTGCCGGTGACGTTGTACGGGCTGAGGCTGGACTCGGACACCCAGCTGGCATTCCACTCCACAGACACGTTGTTGAGGGCTCCAGAGATTCTGGGTTTGGGGAAACCTCCGTGAGAAGAGCACGCTATCACCATCTCGGCTGATTCGCAGGAGCTAGCGGACACCTCTGCTGTTACGCTGGGCTGGCTGAAGTCGGCTGAAGCAAAAGAGACTCGGTTGCCATTCCGTCAGATCACAGTGAGAGTTGCAGTCCCCATCACCCACAGTCAGAGCAAAGGCTCCCCCACAGGGCATTCTCCCCCTACCATAATTTAATTGGCCTCTTGTGCCATATTGCCAGTCAGAGAGCTGCAGCAGGTTGCTCAACTCACTGCACAATGATCCTTTTCGGAGCAGCTACGGTTTCAGTGTGTGTTTGCTCCCTGCCTGACTCATCGTGTGACCACGTGACTGCTGGGATCTGCACAGGGCAGATTCTGGTCCTTGGCGTGTCCTTCGTGGCTTCTGCTGCCCACAAAGCTCTGGGATACCAAGTAACTTTTAACTAGTGAAAGAAACTTGCTCAACACTGTGTGGCTGACCAGTGGCGAGCAAGGAGAGACACAGATTTCCCTCCAAGCCCGCTGTCTGTTGAGCCATATGACACTGCCATCCAGCCTAGAAAGTCTCTTCAGACATCCCAGCCTGTTTCCAGCAGGGATGAGGGAAAATTTCCCTTTCCTGGTCCCCAGAATAACCGATCCCACTTTACCAAAAGGAGCAGAAGTCTATCACAATTGTTACAGCTGGCCTGCTAAGACAGCAAGGGAATTTCTGGAAGGAAAGAAACTGCAGTATTTGTGGCCAGGAAAAGAGATCCGTAGTTTCATATTTTTCATGCAGTTAAGTCCTCAGCCCTCATGGTTAGAGAAGGTGCTGGCAGTGTACTTCCCTTTTTTCATATCAGTTCCCAGAAAGAACACTAATTTTGTCTCCTTGCACGTATGCCCACCATGCCCTCAGACAAGCAGGCACTGGCCAAACCTCAAGAGCTGGTTTGTTTTTTAGTTTTGTTGATCTCCCTTCCAGATGGGGAATGCTCCTTCACTGACTTGTCTGGGAGATTCCTGCAACTCTCTGCTGTTAAAGGTGTTCAAAGGTATGTATATATTTATATATGCCACCAATATCTCTATCTTCAGCTGAGACCAACCACCACAAAAACAGGGGTGGAAATGGAAAATAATGTCAGTGGAACTTTTTGTGGTTCAGGTTCATTTTGAGCAAAGGAACTTGGTTTATTCAAGGTAAAAATACTCAGATCTCCAACTGAGTTCAACCTTAGGCTGTGGAGCTGTGGTGCAGCCAGTGAACTGGCCAGCCCCCGGAGAGCCTGGGCTTCCCAGGGGTTTGGATGCAAGCCTGGAATGCTGCTGTGGCCACCCCCTTCCTCTTTCAGCTTGGATGCTTGCCATGCACCAAGGGCTTGGTCTGACTTTGCCCAAAAGGCATCAGGGGCTGCCTAGGGGACTCACCAGCAGTGGTACCTGGGGAGAGGTCCTGGGAGGGGTCCTTTCACAACAGGGAGGCATCAAGGGGAGGAGGTTGGGCTGGTGGTGTTAAAGCCAAACTCTCTGTACCTGGGTTAGCTTTGGAAAGTAAGTAGGGAGGCTGCTAGAATGGAAATACTTAACACATCTTCCATCACTCTTTTAGGCTGCCTGATGGAAGCCTGTCTGCTCCACTACGATAAAGCTTGGAGGAGTGTCCTTTACCCCCAACAGCTGGCACCGGGGGGTGTCAGGAGACAACCCACCTACCTGTAACAAAGAGGGTGAGGCTCTCGTCACACACAACAACGGAGTTGTGCTGAACCACACACTGGTAAGTGCCATTGTCCAGGATTTCCATGGGGGAGATCCACAGGATGAGGTCCCAGGGGTCCATCTCTGTGCGGTTCCTGTACCGCTTGTCAGCCTCGATCATCTTCCCGTCGGAGTAGGCCAGCACCACCACCGTCACCTCCGGAAACTTCTTCTGCCAGTAGGCCCGGTAATTCTGCAGGCTTTCTGAGCGCGGGATCTCACGGCAGCAAGGCAGGCTGACCTTTTCCCCCAGTTTGCTTCTGACTACTCTCTTCTCCAGTGCTTGGCCTGCAGGTGAGGGGCAAACAAAAGTCAGTGAGACAGTGGTGTGGCCTCGCGGCAGGACCTGCTGCCAGAGCTCACCTCTTTTGGCTCTGTCTGCACCCACTGAGTTTGCAGCTCGATTTACAGCTTCAGCTCTGCACTGCGGGAAGGCCTCCCTCGGCATTGCCTTTTCCATCATGCTCCAGTCCTGCTGTCCTAGTTAGAACAGCTGGGACCAGTTCATCACTGTATGGGTGTAACCCAAAACTGTGTATTCTATAGCCTTCCATGCCATTTCCCAGAAACTGGTATCAATAGACCATTTATACCATCTGCCCAGAGCAGCCTGACTCCTCAGGCTATAAACTGGGCGTTAAGAGGCCTGTGAGATAGGAGGGTGCTCCTGTCCTCACACCCCGCCCTGAGGGAGGTACTGGGCACTCCTGCTTGAACTGGAGGATATATATAATCTTGGAGTCTTGGGACTTTTTTAACCACTCGTGGGATCCAGAGGAAGACTGCAGACCACCACTCTCAACCAGACTGCACCAGCACTCTCACCAACAGGTTTTTCCCTCTCGCTTTACTTTGCACTCAGGGGGCCCAACAAACACCACTCTGTTCATGCTCCAGAGTGCTGGGTTATACATTTGGGTTTTGTGGGTTAAAACCAATTGTTCATCTGTATAATCGTACTTATTGTATTATTTTATTAAATTGTTATTCTGACTTATAATCTCTCTTTTGAGTTGGGTTCATTTCCCCTGTTGGTTTACCTTTAAACCAGCACACCTGCTTAGGATCCTGAGCTGGTGGGCACACAAGAATTGCTGCATGGACTGCTGAAGGCAAAGGCAGGAGGAGTGTTACCTGCCTGAACAGGAATTTTGCTGGCCCCCTTAAAAAAACCACACCTCACTGTCAAGAATTGCCATTATTCCTGTAAAGGGATAGAAACATACATGCACAAACTTCTGTCTCTTCTGTTCTCCCTTTGCAGAGCTCAGTGTCCAGAAAATCTCTGTCACTCTCTGGTGGGTTCCCTGCATGCCCAACAGGGCCACAATGGACTATTACCTTTGGGGGATTAGGGTTTTATTGGAAGTTTTTTGGTTTGGGATTTTTTTTTTTTTGTAAGAAACGAAAAGCCCAAATTTTCAAGATCCCAGAAACTAGAAGCAACCCCACAATGATAAACAAAGGTTACAGCCACGCTGTCATCAGCCTTCTAGTATTAGCAAACAAACAATTTCGCCTAGTCTAGCTAAAACAAGTTCATATTTTTGAAGGCCCATGGGCCTCCCTTGGGATGACTCGGAGACCAGCACAGACGTTCCCCAAGTCCTGCACAGTGACCGTGCCACTGCCACACCTAGACTACAGGCATGTGCCTACAACAACAAGCTGAGACCCTTGCAAGGGTGAAAAAGGGTACAACTGACCCTGAGATTAGCTCAGTTGGTTAGAGCATGGTGCTAATGACACCAAGGTTGTGGATTTGATCCCTGTATGGGCCATTCGCTTCAGACACTTGTGGGTCCCTTCCAACTCAGAACATTCTGTGCACTTTGACCACATTAGCAGTAATCCCCCTACTGAGCACTGTGATTATCATGCACTCCACTCCCATGAGCAGCCTTGCTTTCCCATTCCCTCCTCTTTCCAGTGGGTAAGTGGAAAGAGGCCCCTCACAGGGGCCAGGACCTAGGAGGGAGCAGCCTACCAAAGAGCTCCTGCTGCTGCTGAAAGGTGACCCAGCATTAATGCACAGTCCTGTGCTGCAACAAGGCAGATGGCTGAGCTTTCACCTGAGTTGGTGCAACCCTGGGGATGATGTGTACCCTGCTGTGTTAGTCCAGAAGGTCGGGTCACTCTACATTTTCCCTGCTTGCCTCAGCCTCGCTACCTTAGCGCTCATCTCCAGTGGTGGGATATCAATCCATTCCGGCTCTCATCCACTGATGAGAGCAGGAAAACAAGGAAATAGCTGGCTTCAGGACAGAAAAGATTCAGATTCCTTCTTCCTTCCCTGCAGAACACATCTCAGTAAACATGCCGGAGAGAGGAAGCAGGAAAGTCCTGACAGGCGGAGTGTCACTGATGGGGACAGTGCAGCATCACCACTGGCGGAGGTGAGAGCCCACGTGCAAAGTCTCTGCCTGATGCATGAACTGAAAGCTTGACAAAGCTGAGCCTAAGAACTGCCACCCTCCCAGCAAAGTCTGGCTGGTGCTGGCTCACACTTCATAGTCTCTAAGATTCTATGAAATAAGCCTCTCCCCTGCAGCACACCTACCCCTGTCCCGCTTCACACAGCTCACATTAAATCTGTGGGAAACACACTGAAAACATGCTGTGGAGGTCCTGGAAACACTATGGCATGTTTTAATATTAATTAATATTTAATTAAATAAAATAGAATGCAATTAAATTAGCAACTTCTTATTTGACTGGTTTCCCTCCACTCAGCCGCTCCGTTGATCTTCCAAAAGGAAAGATTCAATTTCCCCACACGCACACACTACCTGCACTTCCCCTTATAATGTGTTGCAGATTCTGAGCAACCAAGCCCACTCTGACCTCTGTCAGCCACAAATTGGCAGCAAAAAGGTAGAAAAACTAGTTCTTCCACACCACCTGGGACAAGAACTGCCATGTCTTGCCAACCTCTGGCAGCCTGAAATTTAGGGATTTCTTGACATCAGCAGTTCAACTGCTACTCCTTCAGGAAGAGTTCTTGCCCCTTCAGGAATGTATATATATTTTTGGCTTTCAAAACATCTTGTGGTGAGGAATTGCACAGTTTGATTACATGGTGTGTGAAAAAGCATTTCCTCCTGTTCACCTTAAAAGCAACCCGCTTCAGGCTGTGACTCTTGAAGTTCCTTCTCCTCTTTGTCTGTGTGCATTTGTGTGTGTGCTTCTTCCCTCGACCACATCAGCTCAGCTCCTATTACTGTTGGAGAGACTCAAAGGAGCAGCCAGTCCAACAGCCAGTCAAACTTTGGGATTGTGGAGCCTGATAAAGACCATTTTCTATTTTCTTTTGTGGCAGTAGGGGAAGAGTGGGCGTACAGTAAATGTCAGGGTGACATCGCATCATGGGTTGCATGGGGTTCTTCGTACCTTGCCCCTAAGAGTCTCCTTTGCAACCAAAAGGAGAACAAAAACCTTTTCAGCAGTACATGTGCAGGGGCTGGAAACTCCTGCTGATGTCACGTCTACCCTTAAAAGGCTCTGCAGCCCTTGAAACTGCAACCTGAATGTTGCAAGCCTGAAGGAACCAAAGTCTATGGAGAGTCATTCAGCCTCACAAAAGTCCCCTTTCGTTTTAAAGGTGAACTGCAAAGCAAAAATGAAAATTCAGTTCTCCCCCATTTCTGTGCTGAAGGCTCTCTGTAACCAGTCTGTGGGGAAGGTATTCACTGTGGAAATAGTTTTTAATGAATTTTCTAGGAAAAAAAAAGATCCCTGCTCTTCCCACCCCTCTGAAGCCCACCCACTCCCTTGCTGTGCACACACATCTCTCTGTCCCTGCAAGCCCGTGGCGTGTGCCAACACTGAGCTGATGAAAGGGATGACTTTCTGTTCCCTGTGCAGAAAAACATGTTTCATTCAAACTGCGCCTGTGCTGCAGATGCCCCACACAGCAGGGCTCATCAGAACAGAGAGGTGAGTGAAGAGGAAAATCATGGGTTCTTGTTTGCTCCGAGAGTCAGCAAGCAGGAGAGCTCTACAGTCTCCCGTGTCCCTGTTTCCTTCATTCTTTGCCCCAAGCCTTGACTCAGAATTTCCCCAGCCACAGAGAGCTTGGGATGTCTGTGGCACATGCAGCCGCACAGTACAGGAGAGAGGGTCGCCTCTGGGACAGAAGTCCTGTAGAGACATTTGACAGTAAAGGGCAGCTAAAGACCTAGCGAAGCTCTAGAGAAGCAGTGCCAAACTGTTGGAAACCTTCAGGTAGGTCCTGGTGAACAGAAGCTCCAAAGCCATTCTCTTTCCCCTGCGTTCCCCATTCCTCTGCCCTTCTCAGCTGCTTCGCCTTTATTTGCTCTCACCTTGTGTTGCCTCACTTTGCACACAATGCACAAAGCAGCACACATGAAAGGAAAAGTGGGCCTGGAGTCCCTTGCCAGCAGGTAAGACAGTGGATCTGCACATCTTTTTGGCAATCAGTCCTGTAAAAAATTCTAAGGCAAATTGTCAGCGGAGCTCCAAAACCGAGAGGGTAAAAACAGCCTTGCTTTCTTTTTTTTTTTTTTTCCCTTCAAGTTCCCTATTTGTCTTTGCAACAGCAGCTGCTATCTCTACTCATAAATTAATGGCATCATTGACTTTGCCTAAGACCATGCACTCCCACTCTGCCTGGGCACTGACACCTTCCTCCCACTCCATCTGTGTGTGGGCTGAAACAGGGACTTGGGGAAGCTCTGGGAGGAGGTGCACAGCATGTGGTGGTGAGGTAAGGGCACTTCTGGTAACTGGGGCTGGGCTGGCTGAGTAAAACCCATCTTGTGGAGCTTCACTTTTCTCCTGGTGGCCATCCCCTGGGACCACACAAGAACCACACTTAGCAGTCCTCAGGTAATTGTGCAGATCAGGCACCTCATTTTCTGTGAACTGCACATTCGCCCCAAACTTGCATGATTTATCCCTTGAGGGCAATGCAGTATTTTACAGGGATTTCCAAGCAAGACAGATAATCTGTGGAAAAATTAAGACATTTTTAAAAGCTGAGCCTTTAAAAGACTAGACACTCCCCCTTGGTCTCTCCTTTTTTATCCCAAGTGATTGTACCAATGAGGAATGAGATTCTCTCAAAGCTTTTCCGTGGAGTCCTGTGCTACACTGCAATACGTGAAGAAATGCTTTGTATTTAAGTCAGTGCTGTGATGGACTCTTGTGAATACAGTGATCACAGCTGCCCAGATAACCTCTGTGCTCCTTCCACACAGACTCCACTCTAGCAAGTTCAGGCATGCAAAGGGAGGTCCTGGCAGGCAGAGAAAGGAGGAGTGGCCCCT